ATATTCAAAACTATAGAAGTTAGATGTATAACCGACTTTTGCTTAGACGCAAGACATTAACATATAAATTTTCTGAATAGAGTAAATTATTTCATTCAAGCAGGTTGTTAATTATCTTTCTTTGTATTAGAGGGAATGTTTCGTTGTCCATGTTTCAAACACAAAAATAAATCTCACATCACACCATATGAGATTACTATTGATCTATATCACATAGGATTCAAGTCAGAATATTGGTATTGATCTTCACATGTGAGTACGAGCCTCATTTCGACTCTTTGTGCGGCTTGCCTATAATTTCTAACATAGTTGAGGAAGACAGAGTTAGGACATTTGAGGACTTGATTTATGATGCAATTGATCTACAATTTCAACAATATACAGAAGAGTCTCCGAATAAGGAGCCACAAAACTTTTATGATTTATTACACGCAGCGCAACAAATAATTTGGAATGGGTGCACTACCCACTGAGAGCTATCTGTTGCGGTGAAGATGTTAAGCATAAAGATAGAATATAATATAACCAGAGAATGCTTTAATCAATTCATTGGCCTATTTAAGGAGACCAACTTAATAGATTATATAATTCCAACAAATTTATAATAATCACCTTGGTTTACCATAGGTCCACTAAGAGCAACACATTTGGGGTAGGTATGAGTGAAATAACTATTATGCTAAAGGATGCTGGAATGATCTTATATATAAGATTTATTTGGTGCTCAAACTTTAATTAATAGTAACATGATAAGTAAAGCAATGCGATAGAAATCATGGCAATGTTATTGTGAAAAATTAGTTATTAATTAGGGAGGGAGAGAGAGAGAGAGAGAGAGAGAGAGAGAGAGAGAGAGAGAGAGAGAGAGAGAGAGAGAGATTGTGTAGCCCACAGATGGCTTAGGTGGATGTTTGCAAGATATTCATACATAGATCAACTTTATGCTTATCTAACTAGACAAATTGATGCATGTACGCTATTTATGTTTCCTCACATTAGGTGGATATTTGCAATATGTTCATACATAGATCAACTTTATACTTATCTAACTAGGCATATTGATGAATGCATACCATTTATGTTTCCTCATATTAGATACTTCAAGAAGTGAACTTCATTTATATTTAAAAAGGTAGAATTAATAAATAATTAAAATAAGTTATTAAATTAATGATTAATTAAAATAAGTTATTAAATTAATAATTAATTTAATTAAAATTATGTAATGACTAATTAATTAAAATAAAATATTTAATTACTAATTAATTAAAAATAAACTATATAATTTTAAAATTAATTAAAATAAATTATTAAAATCTGTTAGAAAGCCTCCGAAAATCTGTCGGAAAATCTTTCAGAAATATTTCATTGAATATGTTGGAAATCCACCGGAAAAATCTACCAATAATAAGCAATTTTTCTGTAGCTAGTTTTCATTAGGTATGTCATATTGTAGCATTTATATGGAGAATTAAAAATGAAGGCAAAACCTACCCTAGCCAAGTATAGTTGGGTGCTTACATCTTATGCAAGATTGGACTTAATAACAGAAGCACATGAGCAGACCAAAGATGAAGCTTGGCACATATTACTATTCTTATACGATGGTTAAAGGAAGAAGATCTATATGCAACAAAAAGAATAAACTTAGGCTTTATTTGAGTCAGTTTTCTTACTATATTTTAAAGCAGTTTTTTAGTACAAAAATTTTTAGTTTAAAATACTTTTGTACTAGAAAACTGTTTTGAAAAATAATAAGAAAGTCTTCCTAAATGAAACTTTAATCGCTTTCCAAACAAGTCATGAAATATCTAAATTTTTTCTTTTAGATAATCCTCGATGGTTTAGTGCAAAAAATAATCCAATAATATCCTTATTACATTGATGGGTACCACAAATTGATCAAAGTCAAGAGGACCCTATCACTTATATCTTTTAACTGCTAACCACTTAATTAAATAAGAGCTAAAAAAACTGAAGCCAAAGCCGAAGTTCTATTCCCATCCTTAGTTGAAACAATTAGATATGATTGCATTGGCCCTACAATCATCATGGTCTTTATTATCACAGCTTTACCCTAACCATATGGTGTCACTTCATCATAATCATCATTAGTTCACTGCAACAATGCTTATAGAATTAACTAGCAGATGAAGCAGTAGGATCGATTTCACCGCCTCTCACATAACTCTTAGGCTTCGTTTGTTTTTTTGGTGCTTTTGTAAAAGACAGTTTTAAAAAACATTAGTTCAGAAAATGGAGTTTTGTAATGGAGAAGCATATATAAAAAACTTTCTCAAAACTGCAGAAAAATGAAAAAAAAGGAGTTATTGAGAACGTGATTTGACAAACCAAACAACACAAAAAAAAAAAATTCCTTAGTTTTCAAAAACGGAAAAGGCAAAAAAACGCTCAAACAAATAAAGCCTTACTTCATTACCATAAGTAATGCACTTAATCACATCCTAATGTACACACTACTAAAAAATACGGCTTTTTTGCATCAGTTGTTAGAGGCGGTTTGAAATTGCCGCCAAAACTTGTTTTTTTTGCAACGGTTTTGACCGTTGCAGTGCAAGTACCACCGGTATAACTCAAACACTCGCTCTCCTCTCTTGAATTGCTTGGCTCTTCCTCTTCCCGTTTGTGCACGGATATCCAGTACAAAAATAAAAGGAAAAAGGAACACTATATTTTTTTGTGTGGAAAATACTGAAAAAGGAAAAAATCATGGGATCACGCCTAGTTGAAATGATTCTACTAATGTTTAAATAGATTAATTACAAGTGACTGATTCGTCCTTGAAATTGAGGACGATCTTATCATATTACAATGGTCAACCGTTAGGTTGAAATCCGTTTATAAACAAAGGTCGGACGGAAGTCCGACGTCAGTCCATGGTCGGGCAAAAATCCGCGTCAGTCTATGGTTGGGTGGAAGTCCGGTGTTGGTCGGCGGTCGGGAAGAAGTCTGGCGTTAATCGACAGTCTGGCGTAAGTCCGGCCTCTGTTGGTGGCAGGATGGAAATCCGGTGTAAGTCAGCGGTCAAGCGGAAATCTGACGTCAATCGACGGCCAGGTGGAAGTCTAGCAGTGGTCAAAGAGGAGTCTGGTTGCAAGAGAACTCTAGTTTCTCTTCTTCATTCTCTTCCTTGCTTGGATTTCCTTCCATGAGAAATGAGAGCTCTATTTATAGTTTTATGACAGTGACATTACTATTAAATATGAGGGAGATCAATGGTAAGTTGGGAGTGATTTGAATGAATGGCCGATATTGTTTCCCTTGATCGTGGACCATGTATTCGACATTTGAATATCTTAATGATATCAGAATTTGGCGATCTTAGGTTCATTGGATTCGTCTCATCGAGCCTCTCGATTTGATTATATTCACGTCATATTTGGAAATCGATTGCTCCTCCAATTTATGTTTTGAACTTTTCAAATGCACTTCAGGTCTTCAATTCGGACCCATTTGAGCTCGGATTGAGTCGAATTTGATGTCATTGGGTTCATATTTCTGAGAAATTCAGTTCGTCTGTAAGTTTGTTAAAATCGGAGTTCAGATTCTCCCAGATTTCATTTCGGAAGTTTCCAACTTGATTTTACCTCGATATTCGTGCCCGATCAAGATTATTTTTTAATGATATTTCACTCTCATCATATCTAAATCAGTATTCACAACAAAGGTCGCCCTTTCCATCGTGTTTCTCAGCCTTAAGCGCATTTTAATCACTTTCTGTATAGAATGGAACTACTTTCCCATGGAACAGTACAATGGGATCAAAGAGTTAACGGCCACTGCTGCCACACGATAAGAAGTGCAAGCTTCACGTCAGGCTTGTTCTTTCTATGAAGCAACTTCTTGATCAATGACTAATGATGACTGTAAAATGATTGAAAAGCTTGGAAGAATCCAGCAGTGAAGGGGTCGCCATTAATAGCCTCTTGAGATATCACAATTTCTACGAAGCGTTGGAAAGTGAATTAGAAGGTATGATGGAAGTCTCAAGTCTAGGGCAAATTATTGTGTCCGGTGTCCGGATTCGTCCAGACACCAATAAAAACGTGCCACGTCACTCAAAAATACTGGGGTCCAGTGCATCCGAGTGAGGTGGCGTGTCCGGATTAGATATAAGCATGTCAGGTGACCGGACGCAATAATTTGCCCAAGTCTAGAGCTTTCTTTAATGGCTTATGGAGGCCGATGAAAATAGGTGATACAGAGAGACCAGTTGAAATGCTCAATGGGCTTATATTTTTTTAGCAACTGCATGTATAAAGCTCAAATTTTTACTATTTATAAAATTAAAGTCCTTTTTATGTCAGTTTTTCAATATCTCATTCAAATATAAAAATTCACCAAAAAATTAATCTTAACTCTTAATTTTCTACTTTCTAAATATACCTCTTGAAGAAAGAGTTTTTATTAGAATAGATTTAAATGAACATGTTGATAGAGTTAGATGATTTTAAAAGCATTCGAGTTGGCTATTGTTTTGGAACGACTAATGAATGTGATAAGACTATACTAATTTTTTTTTAAGCTTATAATTTTGGAATTGCTAATATCTTATTTAAGAAAAGAGATGAGCATCTCATTACTTATAAGAATGGATATAATAAAACTCAAATTTATTATTTTCATATAAAAAAATTAGATTGTTTCAATTGCAAATATTATAAAATTATTCTGAGTGAAATTTTATGTACCAAACATAATTTATTGGTTTTGGACTTTAAAATGAATAGACTAAAGATAAAAAATAAAATAAATAATTATTCTAGAATTATATGAAAATTTTTAAAGAATATTAATAAAAAAAATTTTAAAAGTAAAATTTCATATCTTAAATTAGCGTGCTATTATATAAGATATGCCCATATTTTTGTGTTAAATACAAAAATAAAATATATTTGAGTGATATATATATATATATCTATAATTTCGGAAATTCCCCTAAATTTAAATTAGAAATGCTGGCGTATAATTTCTCCTGCTTGATTGTAAGCCTGTTCTGTACATGAGGAGTGGTATAAAAGCTTCCACTTCACAGTTCTGGCAGCACAGTTCGCCCAATCGTAAAACCCTAAAACGCCATGAACTAGCGCATGAAGCAAACGAGAGGAAAGATCTGCCCTTTATCTTGTTTATATTCCGGAATCTATCATCTGTTCGAATCGATTCCAAGTTCGCATCTTTAGAGGTTCCAACTCTCGCTTTAGCTCTACTTTAGCACGCCGCGGAGTCACTTTTCATGTCTGACTTAGAGGGAATGGAACAATTTTGGCCCGCATCCTCTTGATCTAAACTGGAGGGATGGTCGGAGATATGCCATGAGGTAATCCACCTCCCTCGAGTGCTTAATTTCCCACTTGTATGCTTTTATGATGTAAAAAAATGTGATTTGGGGGTAATTTTTTCCAGGAAGGAAGGGCCTTCCCACACCAGGTACGCGAACTCTTCCGTTTCCTTCCCAATATATTTAAGGAGCAGGGCTTTAGTGTTGATGGTAAAGAGGCGGAGGGAAGCTCGATTATTATTTTTGACTCTGGAGACGTTTGTGTTTTGGTTTAGCCTTCGAGACAAGGCAATAAAAGATGAAAGTTTAGTTATTTTTTATGATTTTGTAATGGCTTCTTCATTTAAAGATCTTTCCATATTGAAACACCATGGTTTCTAGTTGAAGAAGCACTCTATGTAACCGTGAAATCTTTATTATTCCTTGTTTTGCACAGAACAAACCCCAAAATTAGTAGTTCTGTGCCCTCTGGTATCAAAACTGAAGTTTTGTTTGCAATAACCTTGCATAAATAAACTAAATCCAGCACAAATATTAGCGAGTGATCTTCTTGTTAGCTCTGCATTTCTTTTTTTTTTGTACCCTACAAAAAATTGAGGAAATTTGTGCACAGAAGTTATATTTTGGGATTTCTAATAAAACATATAGTTCTGAGCTTAATCACAATGTATAACCTGCATAATTTCTTTTCTTTTCTGATTTTGCAGCCCTTCTTGAAACCTTGATTAGTGTAGATGTTTTCATTTTGTTTCCTTTTTGTCTGTGATTTGCTTTTATGAGAAAAAATTGACTTACCTGCTAAACTGAACCAAATAGAATCAACAACTACATGTAAAAAGATCTTAAAAGTGTTTATCTGATCCTTTAGTTGCCATAAATGTTTGTTGGTATTTTCTCTTATTGCTTCATAAAACATTTCCAACCCGTTTTCTTTGGAGATGTTTCATTAGCTGTTGCTTGTATTAGTTTTTCTTTTTACAGTAATTGTAATTGATGTTAAATTCATTAGTGTTGCATTTACATATATATTACCTGTAAAATTTGTTTGTATGTTGAGCTTGCTAGCAATTTAGGAAGATACTTTGTAGGATTTAGTGATTTACTTTTTTTTATTTTTTTGTCATTCCCAATTTCGTGATTTTATCATCCAGTTGCTGGTTCATTGCAATATTGAATTTGGGGGATCCTTTGTTTCTTTTATTCCTCATATGTAAACGCTTGTTAGATTCACAGTTTTAAGTATCTTTCTCCTATATATTATTTTTTCTTGAGAAATATGACCTTGAAAAGCCCGTCTTCATTATCCAGATAAACTTATTTATGATATCTAATTCCTAGAATACTGAAGTTTTGTGCCTTCCACATTTTCCTATGAAGCCTTTTATCAGTAGGCTCTCTGTACAACATGTTTTTTTTTTAATAAATTCTTGAATGCTCAACTGTTACTTTTATGTTGTTGCTTTATTAGAATGCGATTTATTTGTATTTTTTTTTGGAATTGGGGTATCTACCCAGTCCCACTCCAAAGGGAGCGTTTGGCGGCGGAACTTAGCGAGGCCACCCACAGGCATCGGGCCCACACTTGCTTTGCCCCACTGAAGAGGCGAGGCCATAGTATAGGGGATTTGAAATCTAGGATGGGGGTTCTCAACCGTGCTCGCCCACCAACCAACCTAAGCCTTGGTGTGTGATTCATTGTAATATTGTAGTAGAGATTATTTTCTATTAGATCAATCACTATTTCAAATCTCATGTATTAAAAATAGCTTATTCATATGTGCAAAAAGAAAGTAGAATCTTACTTGTTGAAAAATATCTTTCCTAGGTAGAATCTTACTTCTAAAAGATGGCCATCATAATCCCAGATAAAGTAATTAAAGTGCTTATCTGATTCATAGATAGCCAAAAACAATGATCGGAGCTTCGCTGATAGCGCCTTCCTTACTATCCATGGAGGCGTTTCATTAGTAGCTTTCTATACACATCAATCTGTTCCATTCATCCCTCATTTTTCAATTTCTCCAAAGCTTTCTTCAGCAGTTTGTACATGCTTTATGAACCTGATTTCTGTACTTGTCTTTTTAATTTGTTGGTGATTTGTATTATGAAGCTTTTATCTGGTTAATGTACGTAATTTTTTTTAGTATTTTCCATGTCTAGTAAATATAATATTTACAATTGGAAAATCAAAATGATTCCTATTTCTGCTAGTTTTATTTCCTACATGCTTCATATCTTATTTTATCTCTAGAATTCCACTAGAAATTCATTCTGTTAGTGGTGGATTTGCCTCTATTTCCATTCTACATGTTATTGGTGAAATTCATTTGTTTTTTTTTTCTGGAGTTTATGTTCTTGATAGATTGGCCTCCACAATCCCAGTTAAACTGGCTTCAATATTTATCTGATTCATGGGAGGCCAAAAGAAATGATGGGAGATTCGCTGATATCACTTCCTTTCCTTGGAGGTGTTTCATTAGTATCTTGCCTTATATCTTATGCAATAGTCCTTATTTTGATCCAGACAAATAAATTTTTTCCATATGATTTATTATAAGTTCAAATCACAAACTGTCTTCGTCATAGTATTGATATTGTAGTATTTTAATTATATGATTTTTGTTCATAATTTTTTGTCACTATTAAAAATCCTTAAGAAATTGATACATGTCGGTATAAGTGAGGATTTCAAAACTGTCATGTGTTTATTTTGTAAATCGATTTCATCAATATTTTCTAAATAAAATGAATTTAATAAATTAATACAATGGATTTAGATATTTAGGAATAAAATAATAATATAATACTATTTAACTATATAATTTAATCAATTGTCAATATAAAATTCATATAAATTCTTTTGGGGCATTAAAAATTATAAAAAATATCAATAACATAAGTTATTTTATTTAAAAAATATTAGTAAAATCAATTTATAACATGGACACGTGACGGTCCTAAAATTTTCACTTGTAATTACAAATATCGATTTCTTAAAGATTTTCACCAGTGTCTAAATATTAGTAAAATTAATTTATAAAATGGACACCTGATGGTTTCAAAATTCTCACTTGTACTTACAAATATCAATTTCTTAAGAATTTTTACTTGTTTTAAAGAAATTTTTGTACTAAACAACAGTTTCACAAAACAATAAGAAAGCTATTCTTAATGAGCAATAATTTCTTCATTTTACATAAAGTTTGTATATCTTGCGGTATATCTTATACTCTTTTCTTTCTATATATACTTGTTACATGAGTTGCTAGAGTTTTCTTTCTCTTGTAGTTGGATCCTTTAACATTTGTTTTTGATGATTGAATCTATCTTGAAAGGAAAAAAAAAGGATAGATTCCATCTATTTTCATTTTCCTTGAAATTCATGTCCTCTTCCTCTGGATGTAGAAAAGGAATCAATAAATCAATCAAATTACGATAAGTTTCATAAAGTGCTTTTTTAGGAGTTAAACTCCCATTCGTCCATATTTCTAAACCTGTTCACGAATTAAACTCGAACAGTGTAATTTTAAACGAGCTCGAGCTCAATTACCATCAAAGGAGCTTGACAAGCTTTGAATTGAGCTCGAACTCGAACATGCATAGGTTCGGCTCAGTTTGGTTCACTTGCAGCCCTAAATGTATCCATTTCGATGAGCCGAATGCAACGATGTAATTCGTTTCGCAAGATGAGATTCTGATCGAGAAATTTTACATATTTCGAAGACTTGTCATGACAAATCAAGGTGACAATGTGTGGCTTGACTTGTGATCATGCACTATCGTGTAGAAATATAGGATTTAGATTATCCCACAAGGAAATGAAGAAGGCAAAGTGAATGACTAATGCAAAAATTAATAAATAGACCCCCAATATGTATGATGAACTTGAAAAATAAATTGCACGAATTAGTTTTAACCGAGGCAATCAATATAATCCACAAGATTTTAGCAGGCAAGTTTAGCAGGATTTAGTGAGTACATACCCGAAGTGAAATAATCCTAAAAAGATAGATTTAGGTTTCGTTTGGGACGGTTTTTTTATTGCTTTCTAAAACGGAGTTTTAATACAATTTTTTTTTTTTTTGTACTAAAACTCTGTTTTAGAAAGCAATGAAAAAGCCGTCCCAAACGAAGCCTTAATCAGGCAGGATATCCAATAGGGAAATCATCCCAACAAGACATATTTAAGCTGCAAAAAGGCTTTGAATGAGATATTTATCCTAAACAAGTAGATGGTCAGATAAGGAAGATAACCATGAATCATATTATCCAATTAATGAAACCTTTAGATGGAGAGAAAAACTAATCCCAACCATAATCATCAAAAAAATCTCTGGACGTAATGCATTGATTAGTTTTATTTTCAAAATGATAGATTAATACCATTTTATACTTTAGGATGAATATTTAATTCTCTAGGTTAAATTTGATTATAAAAATAAAATTTGTTTCTATTTTTGAGTCTATGGTGAATTATTAGGTTAAAAATTTAGATCATATTCATGAATAAATTTTCTTAGGGGCTATTTGATTGTAAATATTATTAATGTAAATTAAATATATAAGTTTTGAAATATTTGGTGTTGGATTTAGGTTTTATTTGGAATGATTTTTTTATTATTTTTTAAATTAGCTTTTTAGTTTGTATAAAAATTTTTTAATTAAAATTTTTTTACTAAAATTATTTTAAAAAGTAATAAACAAGTTGTTCAGAATAAAGCCTTAAAGAAAATTAAATTTAGGATAATTTTCTTACTATTTTTTAATACAAAAATTTTTATTTAAAAAGTTTATTGTACTAAAAAGTTTTATTAGAAAATAGTAAAAAAGTTGTCTCAAATAAAATCTAAATGAAAATCAAAATGGTGTTTTATTTGAAAATTTTCATCTAATCTATTTTCAATGTATTTAGGAATTTTTTAATTTACACCACTTGGGTGTTTCATTGATGGCAATTGCTTGCCATTGTTTGCCTCTATTGCTCATCACCTCTATTGTCAGGAGAAATTATTTTGAGCGGAGATCGGATGCAGAACGTTATCTGGAGACTGTCACATTAGTGATATCAAGCCATGGCATCAAAAAGAGTAATATGACACATTCTAATTAATCTTCAGACTACGATCAATTTCTACGTAGAATAATTAATCCATTATCAGCCATCGTTATTATCGTTGTTCTATCGTGGCATGTGCTTTTCCAATTTATCTTCTGAAACTTCTTCCGCCTTTCCCCTTCCCGCCGTCCGATCCTTGCCTTCACGGCTTGTCGGCCGTCCTTCTCCTCTCGGCTCAACACAAGGAATTACTACGTGTCAAATTTCGCTGCCTCCAATTTCGCTGTACGCCGTCCTTTTTCCGTATCACCCCATCACACCTTCATCGTGCACTGGTCCTTTATCCTCCCATATAAAATAAGAAATTAATCCGCTGTATGGTCCAAAATAAAACGCTCAGTTGAAACAGCTTCACATTCCGCTTCCTCTATCTTCCTCCCACTTCTCTGATAGTCGCTTGATCGCTTCTCATTACTAAAGAGTAGAGTAGAAGAACAAGAGCTCCGCCGATTATCTCATTCTTCTTCCTGCTACAATATTTAGTCCCACATTATCAACGAGGTCGGTAATCTCCCATATTTCATGGCCTCCTTCACGCGGCTCTCATTCAATTTCAACCCCGCCGGTTCCAGAACCCTTCTCCCCTCTTCCCGAACCCCTCCGCCGCGTTCAATTCCCTCCCCCACCCTCCGCCGCCGCACCCTCGCCACTGCTTCCGCCGTTCAACCAGCAGCGGAAATCTCCGCCGCCATTCCTGCCGCCCCGCCGGAATTCGACTTCAAGTCCTATATGCTTTCAAAAGCCGCCGTCGTAAACCGCGCCCTCGATCTGGCGGTACCCCTCGCGTACCCAGACCGCATCCACGAAGCCATGCGCTACTCCCTCCTCGCCGGCGGCAAACGCATCCGACCAGCCCTCTGCATCGCCGCATGCGAGCTCGTCGGCGGCGACGAAAGCCTAGCTTTACCCGCCGCCTGTGCCGTGGAAATGATCCACACCATGTCGCTCATACACGACGACCTCCCCTGCATGGACAACGACGATTTCCGCCGCGGGCAGCCGACCTCCCACCTCGTCTTCGGCGAACCCATCGCCATCCTCGCCGGCGATGCCCTCCTCGCCTTAGCCTTCCGCCACCTGGCTCACGCTTCCCACGCCATACCCCCTGCTCTGCTCGTCCGCGCCGTTGCAGAGCTCGCTCGTTGCACCGGCGTGGAAGGCCTCGTCGCCGGGCAAGTTGTCGACCTCGAGTCAACCGGGCTCGAGGAAGAACTCGTCAACCTTGAGAGGCTCGAGTTCATACACGTTCACAAGACGGCGGTGTTGCTAGAGGCGGCGGTAGTTATAGGGGCGATAATCGGCGGCGGGTTGGAGGAGGAGATTGAGAGGCTGAGACGGTACGCGCGGTGCATTGGGTTGTTGTTTCAGGTGGTTGATGATATTCTTGATGTGACCAAGTCGTCGGAGGAATTGGGCAAGACGGCCGGAAAGGATTTGGCAAGCGACAAGACGACGTATCCGAAGCTGGTGGGTTTGAAGAGATCGAGGGAGCTTGCGGAAGAGTTGCTTCGGGATGCAAGGTTGCAGCTTGAGGGGTTTGATTCGACAAAGGCCGCGCCTTTGCTTTGTCTGGCGAATTATATTGCTCACAGGCATAAGTAGATTGTTTGGGCGATGGTGATGTTGATATACAGGAAGTAAATCAATATTGGAATGGTTAGTTGCTTTTATGTTGTTAATGTTATACTTTGTTCTTCTTTTCTCTTCAATATTATGCTAAATTGTTTGTGGGATGGAAGGTGGGTGACTGCAATTGTTTGCTAATGGAAATGGAGGTTGATTGTTAAGAGAATGAAGACTATAAGAAAGTAGAGGAAGAAGAAAACAACATACTATTTCAAGTAGTTTAGCATGGTAGCCTACATTTACTAATCAAATGAAAGAATTAGAGAAACTCGCATGAACACGTGAAATTATTCTCTTATGAGACCGGACGCATAACGTCTTCCGGAGACAATCAAAATGCGCAATGTCAGCAATACCGAGCCGTGGTACTCAGCGAAGGGGTGATGTGACATTATTTTGTGCGGAGACCAGATGTAGAATGTCGTCCGGAGACCAATCAGAATGCGTCACGTCAGCGATACCGAGCCGTAGTACTGAGCGAAGGGGTGACGTGGCACATTCTGATTGGTATTTGGATCACGTTCAGCGTCCGCACAAATTAATTAATCCACACACTATCTTGTTGAATCTTCTTCCAGTGATCATCTTCATACCTGAAACTGAGAAGGAAAATGCAGCGAAGAACAGAGAAGAAAACAAGAGAATGAACAATGAAAAGTTCTTTTGCATTGCCCGTTTGTGTTGCTTTTACAGGAATATATAATCCCATAATATCCCGAACTTGAACGGCTGAGATTGGGTAGTTGTACACAAACGGTGAGGATTAAAGAGTCAGAAAAAGCACTCTGTTACGGCAGAGTAGTGGAAGCATGAGTTGATATTTCGCCTTGCTTATCAGCTTGCTTATCACCTCCCCTCAAGCTAGTATTCGGCTCCAGAATAGTTAGCTTGTGTCGTAGTGACTGGAAACGTTGTAAAGACAATGCTTTTGTAAATATATCAACCAACTGGTCGGTGGTATGAATATGAGTAACTTGCAGCAGTTTGTTGGCAATGCATTCACGAACGAAATGAAAATCAATTTCTATATGTTTTGTTCGTGCGTGGAATACTGGATTATTGGCAAGCGCAATGGAAGAGATGTTGTCACAAAATAAAGTGGTAGGAGAGGAAGAAGTGATACCAAATTCAGTCAATAATCTTTGAAGCCAAATTATATCCATTGCAGCTGTTGCAAGTGCTTGATACTCGGCTTTTGTAGAAGATCTTGCAACAGTTTTTGTTTCTTAACTTGCCAAGAAATCAGATTACTGCCTAAAAATGCACAATAACCGGTTGTATACTTTCTATCAATAGGATCACCTGCCCAATCTGAGTCAGAAAAAGCATGTAGGCGAAGTGTAGTTGACACCAGTGGTAAGCCGAAAGAAAGAGTTCCTTTTAGGTAGCGTAAGAGACGTTTAAGAAGTTGAAAATGAACTTCTTGAGGTTGATGCATATGCTGGCATAACCTATTTACTATATAGGCAATGTCGGGTCTAGTTAACGTTAATACTGTAGAGATCCGACGAGTTGTTTGAAGGAATCGGCTTGAGCAGGTGGAAGAAGCGGTGAACCAATGAATGCAGTTTTGGAAGCTATGGGAGTAGAGATTGACTTGCAATCAGCCATACCAGCTTTTTGAAGAATATCTGCAGCATACTTTGATTGGGATAAGTGAAAACCGGTTGGAGTATGTAGAACTTGCATACCAAGAAAATAGGAAATGCAGCCAAGGTTTTTCATATTAAACTGGTTGTGCAGAGCAGATAAGAGATGGGTAATCTTTGAACCATCATTACCAGTTAGTAATATGTCATCGACATATACTAAAATATAAATGACAATGGAATCATGATTGTAAAGTAACAGAGAAGGGTCGGCTTGACTGTGGTGAAACCCATAGGTAATAAGGAATGTAGAAAAAGTCTCAAACCATTTTCTTGGAGATTGTTTCAGTCCATATAAAGATTTTTTTAAAAGACAAACATAATCCGGATGCAAGGAGTCTTTAAAACCGGTTGGTTGAGACATAAAGATTGTGTCGGTGAGAGTCCCATGAAGAAATGCATTCGAAATATCAAGTTGAAGCACTTTCCATTTAAAGGTTGCAGCAGCTATAAGAAAAACATGAATAGTTGGAAGTTTAGCTACAGGACTAAACGTTTGAGAATAATCCAAACCGTGTTGTTGGTTGCAGCCGAGAGCAACCAATCTAGCCTTATGCTTGGCAATTGAACCATCTGAATTATACTTAGTTCGGAAATCCATTTACATCCGAGCACATTTTGAGTTGGAGAAGGTGGAACTAACGTCCACGTTCCTTGTTGTTGTAGAGCAGCAAACTCAGTGGACATGGCTTGGCGCCAAGCTAGCTGTTTTACAGCTTCTGTGTAACAAGTTGGATCAGATGAAACAACAGTAGTACTCATATTGATAATGTGTTTTGGTTTTAAATTACCAGTCCTTAGTCGTGTGATCATAGGATGAGTGGAAAGATTTGGTGGTGGATCGGAAGAATGTATGGTTGTGGCAGAGGGTGATGCAATATTTGGTAGAGAAGAGATGGGAGGAGAAGAACTGAGGGTCGGTATGGAGAGAGGGAGATCATGTTGAGATGATTTTGGAGGAGAGTGATGATTGGAATCAGACAACAGAACTCTTGAAGAGGGAAGAGACACGTTTGTAGAGGAAGATTGTTGAACAAACTTGGTACAAGAAGAGCTGGAGGTGTATAAGAGGGTAATGCAGACGAAGTTGGATGCTGTGTAGTTGACATTTGAGCAAAAGGATAGACCGTCTCAACAAACTTCACATGACGGGAAGTAAATATTTTTGCTGATTCAATGTTAAAACAGTAGTATCCTTTTGCATTGGGTACATAGCCAATAAACACACAAGGTAAAGATTTGGGTTGAAATTTGGTGGAGGCAATTGATGGAAGGAACGGATAACAGAGGCATCCAAATACTTTAAGCATAGTGTAATCTGGATGTTTTGAATAGAGAAGATAGAATGGAGATTTGTTTTTTTTGGACAGAGGTGGCAATCTATTAATCAAATAAACTGCAGCAATAACAGCATGTACCCAAAACTGATTTGGTATTTTGGAATCAAGAAGTAAAGTGCGTGTAGTTTCAAGAATGTGACGGTGTTTTCGCTCCGCAACACCGTTTTGTTCGGGAGTGTAAGGACAAGTAATTTGATGAAGAATTCCACATTGAGATAAAAAGGATTGAAAAGATTTAGAGGAATATTCTCCTCCTCCATCCGATCGTAAGCATTTGATACGTTTATTGAATTGATTTTCAACTAAACGTTTAAACTGAAGAAAAACAGTAGGTACATCAGATTTCGCTTTTAACGGATATAACCAAGTGAAACGAGAAAAATCATCAATAAACAACACATAATATTTAAAACCATGTAAAGATAGAAAGGGGGAAGGACCACATACATCACTATGTATTAAGTCTAACACTTGAGTAGATCTAGATAAAGAAGAAGCAAATGGTAACTTGTGACTTTTAGAAATATTATAAGTGTTACATTGACTATTTGACGACAAGGACAAAGACAACGAACGACAATATTTAGGTAGCTGCTAAAGGACGGGATGAGATGGTTGACCAAGACGTCTATGCCATAGTTGAGTATTGGAGCATATTGCTGAACAGGCAGACTCAACTTGAGGATGATGTTGCTTAGTTTGGATTGGGTAGAGTCCTCGAACAGTAGGACCGTGAAGGAGAGTTTGGTTGTTCGTCAGGTCCTGAATATGATAACCACGAGAATCAAATGTAAAAGCACAAGAATTATCCGTTGTAAGACGGTTGATAGAAATAAGATTTTTAGTTAAGTGAGAAACAAGATGAAGAGAGGAAAGATGAAGCTTACGGCTGGGAGTAGGTAATAAACCTTGACCAGTATGAGTTATCGGTAGAAGATCACCATTGCCGACCATGACCTGTTGAGCACCTTTATATGGTATGACATTGTATAGCTGATTTGAATCAGCCGTAAGATGTGCTGTTGCTCCTGTATCGAGTAACCAATCGGAAGACGACTGTGATAGCTCAGCGGAATATACATAAGCAGGAGATTGATAGTTAAAATCTCCACAGTACCAACACTTGACGGCCGAATGGCCATACTTTCCACAAATTTGACATTCGATAGATGGAGCAGTAGAAGAGTTGGTGCGAGAAGTATTGGTCCGTCCACGGGGAGGTCGAGAAGAATAACGACCGCGATAGCCACGACCTCGAGCTCTACCACGTTGAGCTGTGAATGCATGTAGAGGTTCAGATGCAAGAGACAGCTCTCGCCTCTCGCACAGACTCAGTAGCAATATTGAGCTCTTCGCTACAGAGAAGAGCATAGAAATCATCCAAACTGATTGGATTCAAATTCGTTCTAATAGCAATCTTAAAACCTTGATAAGCACTAGGTAACCCATTAAGGGTGTACATTATAATGTCATCAGATGATAGAGGTGAACCAGAAGCACCTATTGCGTCGACTTTGCCTTTAATTTCGGACAAATACTGCATCATTGTTTTATCCTTCATAGAAACATGATGTAGTTCATTCTTCAGTTGAAGAATTCGTGAGCGATTAGTGGATTGTAATCGACGCTCAATGGTTTGCCAGATTTGACAACATGAGTCCAAAGATAGAACATAAGGAAGAAAAGTGGTAGAGATGGTAGAATATAACACAGCTGCTAAGTTCTGATCAATAAGTAACCATGAATAATATTCAGGGTTAGGTTTAAGAACATGAGCAGAGGTAATGAGCTTTGGTGGTTTTGAAGCCGAACCATCCAAAAAACCCTCAAATCCGTTTGCAGTGAATAACTTCAGGATTTGCGTCTTCCACAGTGTATAATTTTCAGCTGTGAGCTGAATATTGAGAACGGATTTGACATTAGTCATGAGAAACTTCAACTGAGGCGGAATGGGAACATCGCCGATCTTGATCGGAGAGGAAGTTTGAGAAGAAGTGGAAGACTGAGAAGGATTGTCCATGACAAAGAAAGCAACGACGACTTCGGAAAAAAAAACCGTGAGGTACTAAACCTGCTCTGATACCATATTGAATCTTCTTCCAGTGGCCATCTTCATACCTGAAACAGAGAAGGAAAAGCAACGAAGAACATAGAAGAAAACAAAGGAATGAACAGTGAAAAGTTCAGCTTCATTGCCCGTCTGTGTTGCTTTTACAGGAATATATAATCTCATGATATCCCAAAGGTGAACGGCTGTGATTTGGTAGTTGTACACAAACGGTGAGGATTAAAGAGTCAGAAAAAGCACTCTGTTACGGCAGAGTAGTGGAAGCATGAGCTGATATTTCGCCTTGCTTATCAGCTTGCTTATCAATGATCGAGTATTTAAAATATTGTTCAAGTTTGTTTGTTTATTTAATTAAACAATCACAAACGAGCTTTAATCGAACCGAGCAACGGTAGCTCGTCGAACGCTTGTTTCAATTGCAGCCCTACCCATTGGGTACCCATGCTTTACTCTAACGGGCTTCGCCCACCCATGGTGATTTTCGGGATGTCGTACCCATCTATACCCACCCACTTTCCATGCTTTTTGAATGCAGTATGCCACTAACTAATGGTCTTGAGGCTTGTTACACTTTGCTCTGATTGTAAACTTTCAAGCCGCATGTCAGAATTTACCGTAATCGCAGCGTGGTTAAGTGCTACACACCACTTAGTAAGGATTGCAATAATATAGGATATACGGTGACTATCAATGTAAATAGATTTATCTTCCGATGTTAAGTACCCACCCACAATGTCATAAGCTATGTACCCATACCCACTCATACCCATTGCAAGGCTTTATGGCCTTCACTCTATAAATTATCTAACATTTCTCTCTCTGCTCTCTCATCCTCCTTATTGTTATGTCAAAAAATTGCTAACCGTACAAATAGATTTTAGGTATTGCTTATAAATAAATTTGGACCTAATAAAAATAATCTTGAATTGTAAGGGAAAATAAGAGCGTCTACCTATATAATCCTCATATTAAAATGTGGCTTAAAAATACAAGCAAAAGTAATTATAATTGATTTATTGTCGAGATGGGTGGCCCTAATTAGGGCTGTTAAACTCGGGTCACGGGTGGGGTTAGGGTCCAACCCGCAACTAATCTGGCACTGTTCGACCCCTCGTTTTTGCAAACGGGTCAGTTTTTCGAACCAAAAACCGACCCACTTCGGGTAAGTTTTATTAAATTTTTTTATTCAATTTTAAATCGAATTAAGGTATGATTTACTTCAATCAATTTAAAATAAACCAAGCTTAGTTAAGTTTGAGCAACATGGTTTATTATTTTTTGGAAATGTCATTTACTTATTTCATAACATTCTCTTAAAATTCTCATAAATTAATTAAAAATGAGTCAAATATGGTTGATTCAGATTTCCAGGCCAATCCAAATTTGACCTAATTTTATAAACGAATTGAAATCTCTAACCTGAGAACAATTATTACGTCATCTGACCGGACGTAGAGCTATGTTCGGTCGCCAATAACATGTCCCAACGTGCTCTTACTTTCTACTGCGCGGCCCGACGACTTGACCCGGACCAAAACCCGGGAATGCTATGTTCGCGTATTGCGAGGTATTACTCGGTATTTGCTCGGTATTGCTCGGTATTGCTAGGTATTGCATGACAATAACGAGAAATACCGCTCTGTGAAGACCAATACCGAGCAAATACCGAGTAATACCTAGTTGTACAAAAACTCGGTACAACTCAGTACAACTCGGTATTACTCGATATTTGCTAGGTATTGCATGACAATAATGAGAAATACGGCTCTGTGAAGACCAATACAGAGCAAATACCGAGTAATACCGAGTTGTACCGAGTTGTACAAAAACTCGGTGCTACTCGGTATTTGCTCGGTATTACTCGGTATTTGCTCGGTATTGGTTATTGCCAAGCAAAATCGACCAATACCTAGCAATACCAAGTAATACCGAGCAATACCTAGCAAAATCGAGAAATACCGAGCCATCCTAGGTCCGTTCCGGGTCGGAATTTCGGGGCGCACGATAAATAGTAAGAACTCGTGGCACGATTCTACTAGCGGCCGAACCTAGAGCTACGTGCTGTGACCGACCAAATAAAAGTTCCTAACCTGAACCCGAACATGAAATTTCGATTAGATTCAAATAGATTTTTCTAAGTTTTGTAAAATATTGACACCTCTGGCCCCATCTCCCCAGGTGAGACCTAGCCGATGTTAATTTGCGCGGGTATATCTACTGCATCTACTTCTCCGCCGGCAGAAACCATGGCGGTAGAACGGAGACCCTCGAACGGTAACGCTGACGCTCTAGTTCTTCTACGCAAGTATTTTTATCACGTTTAATGTTACTTCTTCCTTTTCCTATCCATCGTTCTTCTTTCTCGTCCGCAGAGGCTCTTCTACAGCAGTTGAGGGATGGAAGTGCGAAGTTTGAACTCGCAAGCCTTTCGATTTTGCCGTTGCCTTATGGGCCGAGGTTCTTCGCTAGAATTGGCTCCTCATTGTATGATACTATAGTTATGTTATATATGGTAACTGAATTGTTTGGAAGTGAGCAAATAACAATTTCGCTTTTCTTTTTCCTGTTTTTGTTTTAAAGGAATGGGATATCGCCGGCATTGAAGAAAGTGGAACATTACTCGGTACAAAAGGTCACTGGTGATGGCCGCTGCATGTTCCGCGCACTGGTAAGTAAAGAAAATAATCTTGATCCCTTCATAGATTTTTGCATTACTGCCTCTTGTTTATTCGGATTCAAAAAGTATGGATTCATATTTCCAATATTTTATGCATTTAGCACTTCTATTTATAATTAGTTTATGCAATTACCATCGCATGATCTACATCATTCATCGAATTTTGTTGACATTTAATCCAGAAGAACAAGTGTTTTAGAAACGTGTGAACATTGTATTTGAAGAAATCTGATATATGTCCCTTTTTTGTTCATTTAAAGGGACTATTAGGTTGCCTGGTTTAATTGAGAATTCGGTGAGTTTTGAACTGAAATTTGTCAAAGGGTTTGTGAGGGGTTTATAAATCTTCCTTAAAGTAAGTAAATCTGAATTTAGCAGTATTTGATAAAACTTGGATCAAATTGATTATTGCCTATCTGTATCAAGCTTCTCTACACTGTAAAAATGCCTTGCAATGCTCAATATGGCTTTGTTTGAATGATTTATAATCCTGATTAGATGATATTTTCAGGTGAAGGGAATGGCAAGAAACAAAGGTTTGAAGCTTAATATGAACCAAGAAACTGAGGATGCAGGTAGTACGGCAGAAATAACTATAATTTAAGAAATCACTGAGGATATGGTTTTTTATTTTGTGCTTTATTAAGGAATATTTTATTTTTATTATTGAATTTAGATCATGCAAACAATTTTTAGGAAGTGAACTGAAGGGGCATCATAGTTGGTTGGACACTCCAGGGGTCACATATGTTATTAAGTCAAAAGATTAAGCCTACAAGTGAAAGTTATTCATTTAGTATTTCACACCACCATATTTTTTTTTTTTCAGCTATTTGATGTGAGAGAGTCTTGCATTAGAGTCTCCCCCTCACATGAGAACTCTTCATTTAGGCATCACTACCCCTCAAATGAAAGTTTTTTAACAATATCAAACATTTTGAATTAAGAGGCTACTTAGCTAACGAAGACTTCATTAGTCACTTACTATTTTACTTTGTTCAACCATAATAAAAGTTGGCCATGATTTTTTTTAAGGGTTAGGCCTTAAAACCCCTCAAATGAAAACTTTTCAACACCATCAAATATTTTGAACTAAGAGTCTACTTAGGTAATGATGATGTCATTAGTTACTTACTTTTGAACTTTGTTCAACCATAATAAAAGTTGGCCATGACATTTGAGATTCATAAATTGCATGAACCACTCGATCTTAACCATCCTCTATGATACTATTTGTTAGTAAGTGAACTTAAAAGGATACTGAAGTTAGGCTAGATATTTTGATAGCCAAATCTATTTTCAACCCAAAATTTTAAGCTTGTGGGTGAAGGACCCTCACTTGATATTTCTACATTAATATGTTTTTAAATTATCAAATGGTAGGCCATATCCAGAGCCTCTTGTATATTCGTTATATTGCTAGTGAGATAAAATAAAGAGAGAAAAATATTTGGGTGAGCAAATATTGTATCATCATACTTATTTCTGGATATATTGAAAATTTATCCATCTGGTTGCGAATGTATGCTAATGTTGTTGAACCACCACATGGGCATTTAGTTATTCCTAATAACTAGTGTTAGAGCTAGGCTTTGGAGTTACACTGGAAAGGTAGGACCAATAGTATCCAAGGATGGCGTGGTCAAGATGAAAAAGTTTAATGTTAAGGATTTTATATACTACAAGATATGGACCAAGGTTCAATGCACTAGAAAAAAATATTTATATCTATTGGAGATAGGCCGCAAGCCACGAATAAAAAAGATTGGGATATCTTGGACATATAGATGTTTGGAGTTGTATTTCTGAGATTGAGAAGAAGTGTTATCTTTAACATACTGCATGAGAAGGCCATAGCTAGTGTGATAAAAGGTCAGCCAAAAATATATGTGAAGCATTCAATTATAAATAAGGGGTATTTAATGATGAAAATTTCAATTTGAGGATTGATGAAGGTGCTTTCGCAATAATGCATATCAACAAGCTCAATTGATGAAAAATTTGTTGAGCTTGATTGATATCAATTTTGATGTTGAAGTTTGTGAATTGAACTTATTGTCATCTTTTTTAGAGAGCTCATGTGGCACTATAACAATGACCATCGTTCTCGTGCGTCTACAAAGTTGAAGTTGAATGATGCTTGTGACCTGATCTTGTGTGAATGCATAAGGAGGCAACAAGTTAGAGATTCGCCCACAGTTTGAAATTACGCAATTGGGTTTGAGGAGTTTTCTTTTTGTGTGATGAGACGTAAGCCTCAAGGCTTTTTGAGGCCCAAGCCTCAGAATTAAACCATTAAATTAATGAGAAATATGAAATAATAAGTAACTTATTAACATCAAAGAGTTAGATCATAAAAACTCAAAGTAAGACTATTAAAATTCATACAAGGATAAAACCAAAGCTAAAAAATGAAGAAGAAATAAGAAAATAGGCCCTATCTTGGTGTTCCTACACTATTCTTCTCTTTTTATTTGTTGTTTTTACATCCAAGGTGCATCACCTTATTAAATCTTCAGTTTAGGAGTTTAATGCAGCGGTCATAACACATGCATATAATTTAAATTTATCTTTAAATAACGTGTATGCTTCTTGATGCATTTGCACTATGCACTTAAATGCTTTTTGGTGCAGCTGGATGATGCATACGTAAGCTTTGTCTGTGTTGACATGACTTTTGGTGTGCTCATGTAATGCACTTGCACACATTTTTGATGCAGTCAAGTATTGCCATTTTACATTTTTTTTTTATTTTCTACTTGTGTTTCTAGCCTTCTTTCCCCAATAACTTTTCAGTTTTTTTTTGTTGAATTTCGTTTTCCTTGTTGGCCCCTTGGTTTCCCAGTTATCTCCCAGTTTTCATGTTTTCCACTCATTTTCTCTGTTGTTTTCTCGTATACTTGTTGCTGTTTGATCTTCCTTAAGTGCTGTAGTTTTTCCCCATGCTTGCAATTTTTTCCCATGCCACTGTCCTGCTATTTTTTTGTTGTTGGCTGCTCGTTTTCCCTGCTGTGATTGCTCAGTTTCCTCTTTACTGATTCCTATGCAGTAGGCTTCAAAATGTGGGTTATTTTGGTGGTCACTGTTTTGTGGGCACATTTATGTGATATATTAAATGATATTCACTCTTATTTCTTCTATAAATTGGAGCTGATTTTCTTTGTGAGAGAAAGACTTTGAAGAATTTTTGGAATGTGATCAATCAAAACCTGCTGGTCTTGCGAGCTATTTTCTTCTTCCTATCATTTATATATTTCGTCTTGGACTTCGATCTATTCTTCTCTCTATGGTTCCCATTCTACCTTTATCTTTCTTCTCTAAAACTATTGTAAGTTGTGTTGTATATTATTTTATTATGAGTTGTAAGTGGTGCTAGTATTGTTTTATTGTTTTGTTTGTGTTATTTAAGGTTTATGTGAATGAAAAAGAAAGTATGTTTTTATTTGCATTTGTAGAGCAAAGTTTGTTCTTAGGTTGCATCAATTTTGGTGCATTTGCATTGCATGTTCGCACGTCTTTAATTTACATTAGATTTTCTCACTTTTTAAAATAATAGTGCGCCATTTGGAGTCGCTTTAGGCTTTTTATGGAAGTCGTGGGCTTCCCAATGTGGCATGCTTCATTAGGTTGTTGCACGCTTCTTGAGGCAATGACACTTCTCAATGCGGCACACTAAGGTTTACATTCATATTTTTTATTCATGTAGGGCTTTAAAAATACTCGCATTCAATTATTTGCATGGTTGTTTATTGTTGTAATGTGCACATTATCTCATTTTTTAAAATTTTATCTCACAAAAAATGAATGTTCAGTCAAGTCTACCCCTAATAAGTGATTTGACTCATTGATTCTCAAACAATCCCCTGTCAGTAAGGACGTGACATGTGTTCTCTAATCAGTGCTTTGTACTAATAGCTCCACAAAATCAGTGGTTTGACTCAACGACTCTGCATAATAAACAATATGACCATGGTCCTCTAATCGGTGGTTTGGCCTAACGACTCCACAGAAGTAGTGGTTTGGCCCGATGGCTCTACATGGTAAATGATTATGATTGAAGCCCTCTAATCTAGTGATTTGGCCTAACGACTAGAGATCATATGTTCTCCAATAGCTATCACTCTTGTGTGATGAATCATAAGGTATAGTCAATAGGGTAAAAAACTCTCTGTTAGCTAAGGTTGTTTTAATTTGTCTTAGATAAATATTCACTATAGATCCACAAGTTACTCTCATACAAAGCAACTTGTGACTATCGACAGGGAACCTTCGCTGTTAGATTTGGTTGACTACCTCCTCTGCCTAAGTAGATTATGGATCATGATTTCTTGGGATGATGAGCCCATGTGATCTTGATCATGTTCGTTATCATTCCTCCCACGATTTGTTTTAAGTGCGTGGTGATAAATTTCTAATCCTAAATATTTAAATCAGCTGCTACTGTACATCGAGTACTAAGTGCATATCTAATTCTAGGATTAATCGAAATTGCTCTCCCATTATCAGGAGGGGCAATTAATTATAGGGGCTTGTGCCTATTAGAAACTTGAACTCAAATCTTACGGTCCTCGCATATGAGAACTTAATATTTGTATACTGTTTTATCTCTATCTAATCTGTCTTCCGAAATTTTCCCCAAAGCTTGTTCCATTAAAACTCTCCCTACATAAGCGCGAAAAAGTTGGGACAACCCAAACATAAAATTTTCGGAGCTGACACATCGACTTATTAAATCTGTAAAAGGAAGTAGGTGTACTTGTTGGTGAATAAGAATGATTGGAAGTGAAGGTTCTTGCTTGGGTTTCTTGATGGCAGTTCATGATGGGAGGGAGTCACAATAGTTCAATAGTGGCATTCATAGTAGTTAGTGTTGTTTGTTGGCCTCTAAGGACTATGAAGGCTCGAGGAAGCAAGAACTGCAATAGACTTTGGAGTTTGAAGCTATTTGCAATCAATGAATGGACAACGACAATGGCGACAGTGTGAGGTGGCTAGCCGATGAAGCTTTGTTGCGGTTGGTTGCCAAAGGAAATCTTTGATACTGATATGTTGTGTGGAGTTCCAACAAGCATAAGTTGTTTTGAGTTTGAACAAGCAAAAGGATTATTGTCATTTGAAGGTTGGTTTGTTTGTTTTAAGCTTAGAAACTTGTTGACGATAGCGATGATGTTTCAAATAAAGAGGCTTTAAGAAGATCGACTAATGAGGAGCAAGCTCTTTTGGTGGTTGATGACCTTGACCACCAAAGGTGAGTTGTTGAACATGGAGTCCTAGAGGCTAGGGGTGTGAGTCTACAATAAAGCATATTAAGAGGACTTGCAATCAAGGTCATTTCCATTCCAAGAGTCTTGAGTGGTCATCTTAGCATCCTCTCTTCTTTTGGCGTTATGATTTCACTCTTAAGTGGTACATTGCTTATGTCGTTGCTTCCTATCCCGTGCACACTATATGTAGAGGAAATTGTAATCATTTAGTAATAGATACTTGATGACTTGCTTATTCTATCCACGCTCTCCCTAGTCTAAAAACCTAAAGACTTACATAGCCTAAATTTGGTAGCCTAAGCCATAAATAA